GGGCGCATGCGGACTTTGCCCGTGGGACATTCGTTGGAGCTCCTTATGTGCCACGAGACGTTGTATTGGGTGGGGGGGGGGGCGCATGCGGACTTTGCCGCTGGGGCCTTCGGCGGAGCCCTCTATGGGGCCACGAAACGTTGTGCTGTGTGCGGGGAACGCATGTGTACTTTACCACTGGGGCATTCGATGGGGCTCTCATGGGGCCACGAATCGGTGGAGCTCCCTATGGAGCCGCGAAACGCTGTACTGGGTGGTGTGTGACGCGTGCGGGCGGTCCCACTGGGACCTCCGGTGGGGCCCCCTGTGGGGCCGCGTTCGACGCGCTGTACTTGGTGTGCGGGACGCCTGAGGGCGGTCCCATTGGGACTTTCGGTGGGGCTCCCCGTGGGGCCACGAAACGCTGTACTGGGAGGGGGCGACGCACGCAGGCCGTGCGACTGGGACCTTCGGTGGGGCTCCCTGTGGGCCACGAAGCGTTGCACTGGGTGTGCGAACGCAAGCGGGCGGTGATAGTTGGACCTTCGGTTGATCCCCTTGTGGGGCCACGAAACGCTGTACTGGGCGTGCGGGGCGCATGCGGGCGGTCACACTTGGGCCGTCGGTTGATCTCCCTATGGTGCCACGAAGCGTTGTAATGGGTGATGCGTGGCGCATGCGGGCGGTCCCACTGGGTCCGTCGGTGGGTTCCCCTATTTGGGGACACGGGTGGCGCTTGGCGCATGCGGGCGGTGCCGCGAAGGCCGTCTGTAGAGCTCCCCATGGGCCACGAGACCTTGTACTGGGTGGTGCGTGGCGCATGCGGGTGGTCCCATTGGGACCTTCGGTGGGGCTCTCTATAGGGTCACGAACCGTTGCACTGGTTGGTGCGTGACGCATGCGGGCGGTGGCGCTGGCGCCGTCGGTGGATCTCCGCATGGGGCCACGAAGCGTTGTACTGGGTGGTGCGTAGCGCATGCGGGCGCCCCCACTGGGGCCGTCGGTGGAGCTCCGCATGAGGCCACGAAGCGCTGTACTGTGTGGTCCGTTACGCATGCGGGCGGTCCCATTGGGGCCTTCGGTGTAGCTCCCTATATAGAGCCACGAAACGCTGTACTGGGTGGTGCGTGACGCATGCGGGCGGTGCCACTGGGGCTTTCGGTCGAGCTCCCTATGGAGCTACGAATGGCTGCATTGGGTGTGCGTGGCGCATGCGGGCGGTCTCATTGGGACCTTCGGTGGAACTCCCTATGGGGCCACGAAACGCTTTACGGGGTGGTGCGTGACGCATGCAGGCGGTGCAGCTGGGACCTTCGGTGGATCTCCTTATGGGGCCACGAAACGCTGTGCTGGGTGGTGCGCGACGCATGCGGACGGTCCCACTGGGGCCGTCGGTTGATCTCCCTGTGGGGCCGCGAAGCGCTGTACTGGGTGGTGCGTGGCGCATGCGGGCGGTCTCACTGGGACCATCGGAGGAGCTCCCTATGGGGCCCCGAAACATATGAAGGGTGTGCTGAACGGGTGATGTTGCTAATGATGGTGATTGAGGGGGGAGGGGGGGGATGAAGGAAGGAAGAGACGCGGGGGCCGTCCGTTCAAAACGAGGGCCCAACACCACAGAATGGTTGGGAACAAGAGACATCCGAGGAGGCTCTTCTGATCGTAATGTTTTTTCCCTACCTAGGCTCTGCCTAGAAGGGTTCTTACTCTCTTAGCTTAAAGGGGCCGGGCAGTGCTAAGCGCCCCGGGCGGTTCCCCCAGTCCCCGCCCCGCGGTGCCCCCCAGTCCCCTGGGAGCTTAGCTTTAGCTTTAGCTTTAGCTTTAGCTTAGCGTGATTAGCTAAGCTAGCGTTTCGATTGCGTTTCGCTCGCTTTCGTTAGAGCTTAGCTTTAGATTTAGTTTAGCTTTAGCTCAGCGAGCTTAGCTTGAGTTAGCTGCCGCCTTAGCTTTAGCTAGCTTTGCTTAGCTGTAGCTTAGCTGTAGCTTAGCTTTAGCTTAGTTTTAGCTTAGCTTAGCTTAGCTGTAGCTTAGCTGTTGCTCCAATTCCTATAGCTTAGCTTTAGTTTAGCTTTAGCTTAGCTTCAGCTTAGCTTTAGCTTAGCTGTGGCTTAGCTTTAGCTTAGCTTTAGTTTAGCTTTAGCTTAGCTTTAGCTAGCTGTGGCTTAGCTTTAGCTTAGCTTTAGCTTAGCTTTAGCTTAGCAGTAGCTTAGCGTTAGCTTAGCGTTACTGTTACTACAAATGCTGCTTTCCTAGGGGTTCCAACTCCTAGGTAGGGTCGCACTTGGATAATTTCCTCCTCCTCCTCCTCCTCCTCCTCTCTCTTTACTTTCCCCCGCCTCCTCCTCCTCCTCCTCCTCCTCATCATCATCATCATCATCATCATCCCCCCTTGCACTTCCAAGAAACCAGAGGAGACTCCGAGAGTCACTCAAAAGGCTTATGGCTCTTCTGTTCGCCCTCTTTCTTCCTCCTCCTCCTTCGTCGTCGTCGTCGGCGTCGTCTTCGTGGTCGTCGTCTTCGTCGTCGTCGGGTGCGTCGTCATTGTCGTGGTCATCGCCGTCGTCGTCGTCGTCGTCGTCGTCGTCGTCGTTATCGCTTTCTTCCTCTCTCGCCCCACCGCCTTCTCTTTCTCCTCCTCCGCCCCATCCTCCTCCCACTCCTCCCACAGGGAAGAAGTAAAAGGAAGCAAGTAGGAATTAGGAGCAACGAGAGGAGATAGGCGAGGGCATGAGGAGGTAAGTGCGAAAGCCACGACATTCGGTAGGGCTCAGTAAAAGTAGCTGTTTCGGGATGGGCTGGTGGGGATACGCGAAGCGTCAAGAATTTAAAACTGAGCTGCCGTGCGCTCACTCGCCCGCCGCCGCAGGCTCGTCCGGCGCCGCAGGCTCGTCCGGCGCCGCAGCCACAGGCGCCGCCGCAGCCGCCTCCACGGGCGCCGCCGCAGCCGCAGCCGCCTCCTCGTCGAAGTCCTCCAGCTGCGTGTCGAAGTCCTCCAGCTGCGTCGAAGTCCTCCAGCTCGAGAGCTCATCCTTCTTATCATTCTCATTGACGCTCTCTGGGCCCTCGTCCTTCTCAATTTCCTTGTCGTTCCCGGGGGCATCGTCGTCATCGCTCTCCTTCTTGTTCTCCTTCTCGCCCTCGGCCTTGCCACCTTTTGCCTTCTTGCCCTCGCCGCCAGACTTGCCGCCCTTGGACTTCTTTTTCCCCTTGCCGCCAGATTTGCCGCCCTTGGACTTCTTGTCCTTCCCCTCGGGAGGGTCGTCCGAACTGGCGCCCTCATCTGCATCTTTGGGCGCATCATGAGCTTTGATCATCTTCTGCATGAGCTTGTTGGCGTGCTGCACCGTCCCGATCAGGGTGTCTGAGACGGGGGCTCTGGCGTTTGAGAATTTCGTCCACACTTGCCTCGTGCCGTGGCGGATTGCGCACTCCCACCCGTCGATCTTCGGCCTAGGGCTGATCAGCACCTGCGGCTGCCAAATCGACGGGACTTAAGGGGGGCGACTAAGTCGACGACGCGGTCAAAGATGAGGAGCAGGGGGGTGCCCTCCAGATCCTCCTTTCCTTTGTCCACGTCGGCGTACGAGTGCGAGTGCGAGCAGCGCTGGACCTAAAAGCTGTTTTGCTGCATTTCGGCTGCGTTTTGTCTCTCGTTTTGGCAGGGGGGCGCAGGACAACAGGTAGGACAAAACGAACAACAAAACGACAACAACACGAACACAACGTTTAGGTCCAGCCCTGAATACGAGAACGAGGGTGGATGCAGGCGAGTGCTTGCACGCGCCGTTGGACCTTCCACGAGCCGCTCCTCTCACAGACCTGCCTGCACGTCTCGATGCTGTTCTCGTCCTCCACGGCGACGCCCGCATCCTTGTCGCCATCGTCGGACACCTTGAGCTTCTTGCCTGCGACCTGCAGGTGGTCCATGCTCGAACCAGCAGACGCCCTCTTGCCGCTCAGTCTGCACCAGCGGGCCTCAGACACGTAGTCGGACTTGTCCACGCCTGCAGTCAGGTCCACGCTCTCGGACGCCGTCTCGCCACAGTCGTCGGCAGCGTTCTTCTTGCCCTTGCCTTTGTCGGCCTTGCCCTTGCCGTTGTCGGACTTGTCCTCGCCCTTGCCGTTGTCTGCCTTGCCAGCGCTCGGGGGGCCCTTGTCGGCAGCGTTCTTCTTGCCCTTGCCTTTGTCGGCCTTGCCCTTGCCGTTGTCGGACTTGTCCTCGCCCTTGCCGTTGTCTGCCTTGCCAGTGCTCGGGGGGCCGTTGTCGGCCTTGCCCTTGGAGCCCCTGCTGGACTTGCCCTTGCCAGACTTGCCCCTGCCCTTGCCCTTGCCCTTGCCGCTGCCCTTCCCCGCCCTCGCCGGAGTCGCTACGTGCTGGACGGCAGCCGCATCAGCCGCACCGGCTGGGTTCTTCACCTCGTCGTACGAGACCCCCTCGGCGAGCCACCTGTCCCCGTCAGACCAGACGAAAACTGCGACCCCAGCTGTTGACGAGACGACCTCGTCCGCCCAGTTGTCATCGCATGTCCGTTTTGCCCACCCGTCCACCATCTTGAAGTCCACGTCCGTGATATCTTCGGTCCAGTACGCCTCCTCGATCTTCGACCAGCTCGAGCCCTCGCCGCCATCCTGGCGGGGCTCCTCGGCCACGTCCCACCCGGACTCGTCTGACACGTCCTCCAGGGGCTCGTGCTCGCCTGCTTCGTCGTCGTCGTCGTTCCCCCTCGCCGTTTTCCTCCAGCCAGCCTCCTCTTCCTCCTCCTCCTCCTCCTCGGAGCTGCCCACCCTATGGCCCTCTCCCTCATCTCCACCTCCCCATTTCCGCTTTCCTCCTCTTCCCTCCCCTCGCTCTTCTCAGTGTCCTCTTCCTCCTTTCCCCTCATCTCCCTCGGCCCCGCCAGGGGTGCCTTGGGGCCAGATTTTCGAGGTGGTCCCAGCCGCGGCCACTAGGTGCTTCCTGGAGAACCCGAAAAGGGCGAAAAAAGTCCAGAAGCTTCTCGAACCTCGAAGTTCGAACCTCGATCGAAAAATCGCCCCCCCTGCTCCTCCTTCTCCTCCTCCTTCTCCTCCTCCTTCCCCTCCTTCCTCCTCCTCCTTTTCCTCGTCCTGCTCCTGCTCCTGCTCCTGCTCCTGCTCCTGCTCTCCTCCTCCTCCTCCTCCTCCTCCTCCTCCTCCTCCTCCTCCCTCCTCCTCCTCCCCCTCCTCTCGTCGTCGTCACCTGCGTCGGGGTCGGTGAGCGACTCCAGGGACTCGTCGCTGCTCGAAGAGTCCCGAAGAAGTCGCGGGCGAGCAGCGTGGGGCCAGGCATCATCTCGCGCCGGAGGTCGTCGGGGATGGCGTAATTGTTCCTGGCGGGGCTCCCTCCTCCATACTCCTCCTCCTCCTCCTTTCTTCTCCTCCTCATCATCATCATCATCATCATAATCTTCTTCATCATCATCATCATCATCATCATCATCCTCATCCTTCTTCACCTCCTCCTCCTCCTCCTTCTCCTCCTCCTCCTCCTCCTCCATCACCTTCTCCTTCTTCTCCTCCTACTTCTCCTTCTCCTGGATACTCCTCCTCCTCCTCCTCTTCCTCTTCCTTCTCTGCATCCTCTGCCTCTTCCTCGTCCTTCTGCTCCTCTGCCTCCTCATCCTCCTCCCCCTAGTCGTCATTGTTGTCGTCCTCCTCCTCCTCCTGCACCTCCCCCCCCTCCTCATTTTGCTCCTCGTCGTCGTCCTCCTCCTCCTCCTATCCTCCTCCTCATTATCCCCCTCCTCCTATCCCCCTCCTCCTTCTCCTTCTCCTTCTCCTCATCCTTCCATTGATCGTCCCCCTTTTTTCTCATCTACCCCTCTGCCCCCCCCGATCATTATCCGAGAAATACCCCTCCATTCCCATCATGAACACTCACCCTTCCCCCCCTCTTCGTTGAGGGGGAGGGCCATCCCTCTCCTCGTCCCAGGTGGACGTTTGTTCCCCAGGGTCCGCACGACACGGCGCCATCCGGCCAGCAGGTCGACGATCTTCTTGGCCTCCCTGCACGCGTGCCGCGCGTCGCAGCCCAGCACCGATGGGGAAAGGCAGGAGGAGGATGGGGGAGGAACATGGGGGAGAATGCGGGCAGTAAAAAGAAGGAGGGAGAAGGGAGGATGGGCGAGGGAGAGGAGGTCCAGGAGGAGGAGGAGCAGGAGGAGAGGAGGAGGAGGCGGAGGAGGGGGAGGAGGACCAGCAGGAGGAGGAAGAGGAGGAGGAGGGGCAGGAGGAGGAGCAGGAGGGGGAAGAGGGGAGGATGCGGAGGAGGAAACAGATAAGTAGCACCTTGAATACAGCCCCTTCAACCTCGGGAACCTCGAAGATCACGTCCTCCTTGAGGTTCGCCAGCTTGCGCAGGGGCCGATGCCAGCCGCTCCTACGGGAGCGGGGTCACCCTCTCGACTCTCACCCCCCCTCCGTTTTCATTGGTGATCGGCCATCCTGCTCCTCGCCATCTTGCTCAGCCTCCTCCCCTCCTCCCGTCGTCGTCGTCCTCCTGCTGCTCCTGTTTTTTTCTCCTGGTCATCCTCCGACTGCTTTTAATGCATCACGCATCCTCCCGCATCCCCTTCATTCTCCCCCTTCCCTCCCTTTAGGCCTCATCATCCTCCTTCTTTCCTTCATCCTCACATTCATACTTCGAGTCTGGCTCCTCATGATGAACTCGCCCAGGCCACGCGCGCGCTTCGAGCCGTGCGTGCCCCAGTTGCACAGCACGAAAGTCATCTTCCGATGGTCCTTGAGGAATGAGGGGGAGGCTTCGAAGGTGGAGCGGGAAGGGAGCGAGGAGGACGATGGGGAAGATGAGCGAGAAGAGAAGGAGGATGGTCCGACGGCAGCGGAAGCAGCCGCAGCGCCGACGCAATCTGCTCGACGAACATCTGCTCGGAAGAAGCCGCAGCGCCGGCGCTCTCCTCAATATACGTCTGAGCCAAAACGGCTGTCTGGAGACGAGAAGTAGCTCCACAGGTTTCGCCATTTTACCTATACGACCACCCTTCGGGTGATAAGGAGGTTCGGGGGGGAGCAACCAACTTCTCACTCACGATCGATATCACCCGATCGGTTTTACTATCAATATCCCTATCGATCTCACTATCGATTTCATCATCGATCACACTCGATCGGTTTCATAGGATCGTCTCACTCGACCGATCTTACTCGATCAATCCCGCTATCGATCTCACCATTGCTCTTACAAGCGACACCACTAGTGATCTCACGATGTATCTCACAATTGTCACAATCGATTTCACTCAATGGACCTCACCATCGATTTCACTGTTTCTCTTAGTATCGATCCCACACACAATACCACTATCGATATTGCAATCGTTGCTCTTATCCCTCTCACAATCGATGTCACCATTGATCTCACTATCGATCTCACTATATATACCACGTTAGAATGTACAATCGATCTCTCTATCGATCTTTTCATCGGTCTCACGATCGATCTCACTATCGATCCCATTATCGATCTCGCGAAACATCACGGAACACCGTCACGAGCCACGATCACGAGACAGCACCACGAGACACCACCACGATACTTCATCACGAGACACCATCCCGCGACACCACTATGAGACACCACCACGAGACACCACGAGGCACCGCAAGACACCGCGAGCACCACGAGAAACCACGAAAGCGAAATGCCGCGAGACAGATGAAACCTCAACCGAACCGAGCAATTTGTTGCGCCACAGGTTGCGCCATTATAGCCATAGGTTGCGCCATGGCGGCACCCACAGGCGATATCTCGGCGGACCCGTTCAAGGAGAATTGAAGCTCGAGGAGGCGGAGGGAGACGAGAAGGAGGAGGAGGAGGCCCCCCCGGAGAGTGGCGTCCCGCCTCACCCCAGCGGAGTCGACTCTTCACACCTCCTGGCTCTTCCCTGTCCTTCCTCCCCCCCGCCTCCTCCCTCGATCCCTCCTCCATCCTCCTTCTCCCTCCCTCTCTTCTCCCTACGGCTTCCCTCCATCACTATCCCCAAACACTGCTTGCACTAATTCGTGGCTCGTGCCTGCTGCTCTAAGGATTTGGGTGGGTCGGCCGAGGTTTCGCTTGGCGGGCATCTTTTCGACCCCCCCTCCCTCCCTCGACCTCCAACTCTTCCTGCCCGCTGGCCCCCTCCCGTCCCTCGCCCTCCTGTCGTAGCGGATCCATATCCCTCTCCTCCTTCTCCTCCCTCTCCCTCACCCTGGGAGCATCATCATCATCATCAGCATCATCATCATTATTAACATCATCATCGCCATCATGATCAACATCGCCATCACCATCATCACCAACATCAGCATCCGCATCACCAACAACATCAGCATCATCATCAACAGCATCATCAGCATCTTCATCATCACTACCAGCATGATAATCTGCATCATCATCATCATCTCACCACCCTCATCAACATCATCATCATCATCATCATCATCAGCATCATCATCACCACCACCACCACCACCACCACGCCACCACATCACCACCACCATCACCACCACCACCACCACCACCATCATTCACCCTCCGCATGGCGCTCGAGCAGCCTGGGCTCCTCCCGCGGCCGCCATGGCGGCCATGATCGATTCGCCCGCGCTCCATGTGGTGCGCCCCACAAAGGCCGCGCGCGGCCAGGCGGCCGTCCCTTGGAGTCGGCCAGGGGCGTGGCCTGCAGGCGCCGCGGCGAGATTGTCGCTCCCCGATTGCCCTGGCAATCGGGACTGGAAGCGGCGGCGCGGCGCGCGAGCTTTGGGAGTGGGCTTGGCTGGGGCAGGCCTGCGGCGCCAACCCGCGGCCCCTTGCGTGGTCTCTGGGACCACGGTGTGGCCGCGGGCTTGGTGGGCGCCCATGTTGGTCGAACTGCCGCTGCCCGACATACAGCCGCTGGATTCGTGGTATTTCGTTGCGTGGCAGGACCACCTGGTGCCTGCCACGTGGTGGGTCCCGCTGTACAGCGATGCGGGAGGAGGTGGACCCAGCCGTCATCGCGACGGTCTGGCGCGACCCCGACGGGCACAACGTACCGCGCCCGTAAACAAAACCCAACACCGCTCATACCTCACACGTTTCGCGCCCCAAAGCTAGGCCACCAAAAGCGTTGCACCCCAGGTGCTGGAGGAGGGAGTCGCAGCGGTGCGCGGCGTTTGAGGACCCAATCGTTGTGCCGCCAGCATCCGTAACGATCACCAACCATCAATAGTCATCACCAACAACCATCACCAACTACCATTAACAACCATCAACAGCCATCACAGAACAAAAAAGGACAAAAAGAGACAAAAAGAGACATTGCGACATGAAAAGAGACAAAAAGAGACAAAAAAAGACAAAAAGAGACAAAAGAGACACATTTGCAACTGCGCGCGCCTCCTGGAAGGTATGGAAGGTTGGAGGGCCAGGGTTCGCCGCACGAGGCAGCGAGACGCACCCCTGGCAGTAGGTCGGACCTGTCCTCCTACAGGCGGATGTTGTGCGAAAGTTGAACCACACATTCAAACATATGTGTTCTAAAAAGTCGAAGCGTCGCCCGAGGTCAAACCCCCCCGGGTCCGCACTCCAAGCTGACTGGGAGTGCCTTCGCCGCACGAGGCAACGAGACGCACCCCTGGAAGTAGGTCGGACCTGCCCTCCTACAGACGGATGCTGGGCGAAAGTTGAAGCACACATTCAAACATATGTTTTTTTCAAAAAGTCGAAACATCGTCCACATAGTATGTATTCACTGTGTTTGAGTCTTCCTCCCGTAGAGGCACAGGCCCGACTTGACCCTGGCAACACTGTACTGGGGTCCCGTCGCCGAACGGCCTCCTTCCAACATGTCCCGCCGCCGAGCGGGACGGGTTGAGTTTTCTGGCCGAACTCTCGCCGCGGCGAAGTGGGACGAGAACGATGTGATGATACCTTGGGCCCAATATCCAGTGGTCCTCATTGCTCCAACCTGCATGGAAAGAATCGGGAATCTGGGATGTCTTGGACATCCGGGAACGCGTGATTGCCCTGACATCTCCCTCCTTGGAAGGGAGGAGGGGGGAAGGGTATGCGAGAGGGATGGGGGGAACGGGGGCAAGGGGGGGTGGGGAGGCGGGGAGGGGATGCGGAGGAGGGGCACGGCAGAACGGTGGGGAGGCTGGAGGAAGACGGAGACTGGGAGGGGAGCGGAAGGCGGGTGACCTTCGCGGATCCATCCAGGTCAAGAGACGCCGCAGCGCACGAGGGCCGAGGGCTCCGCTCATGAGCGATCGCTTCGCGATGCTCTGTGTGCTTGTTTCGCGACGCTGGATGGCACGGGCTGTCCAGCAACCCTGGGTCTACAGGTGGGGCGTTGACCTCAGGGACGATTAATCAAGAACGAGGCCCCTTTTCTCCCAAAGTGAAACGTCGATTTCCAATTGGAAACCTCAGGGAAACCTACGGCACAATGTACAGTCGGGGCGTTGACCTAGGGAACCCTAAATAAGGAAAGAGGCCCCTATCTTTCATAAGTTGAGCTCTGATTTCAGATCGAAAACCTGAGGAAAACCTGGGGCAAGCTGCGAAACAATGAAGGAACACGGAGCCCCTCCCCAACGAAAAGGGTTCCCTCTTCGGCGCCCCGACTGTAAAGCAACACGGAACACGAAGCCCCTCCCCAACGAAAAGGGCTCCCTCTTCGGCGCGCCCCGACTGTAGCAACGGCCACTCCGTCGCAGGACGCTCCCGTGGGGTGGGAGAGCGCGACAGGAAAGAGAGCGCTTGCTCCGCCCCGTCGGCCTGCAGCGTACGAGCCGTCGAAGAATCGGAGCACGATGAACGCCGTTGTATAGCAGATTCCGGCTAATCCTCCAGTCAGCGTGGGAGGCCGCCCTGCTGCAGCCACCCTTCTCACAGCATGCTTCTGCGCACGGTGCAGCTGGACAATAGAGGCCTCCTCGATGGGGTCCGAGAAGATGGGGTCGGAGGATCGCGCCGCATCGCCGATGCATCAGCGATGCATTGGCGATGCATCAGCGACGTCGGCGGTGCTGCGGCGACGTCAGCGCGGAGCAAATCAGGCGACACATCGAGCCGCATCGGCGATGCATCGGTGATACGGCACTGTCTTCCGACCCCATCCACTCGGATCCGATCTGGGAGGCCCAACACAAGTGTGCTGCGGCTACGCACCCCATCACATGCCATCAAATCATGGCTCTTCTGTCGCGCTCCTGCATTGCAATGCCCGGGGGAATCTGGCCTCGCCCAATCTGGCCTGCTGACCTGCTGCTGAGCAGGGCCATCTTTTTTCCGCTAGGCCACTCCAGAGAATCATCAAAATCTGACCTGCCGCAACAAGCAGCGGCGAGCCCTGGCGGGAGCATCGGCCGGCAACGTTCGAGCGTATGGGGGCCGAGCGCCCTTCCATCGCTGAACCCGAACTGGTTCAAAAAAATCGGCCGCGAGGAGCAGCACACCACAGGCAGCAGGCGGAGGGGGGCAGCCCGGGCGCGGGAGGGCGTGCTGGCTGCCGCAGCAGAGTTCGGGTCGGGCGAAAGGGGGGGGGACAGCAGAGGAGGGGTTTGAGAATCAGCTCACGCAGCTGCTTTTCCCGGCGCCGGAGGCGCCCGTGCATCGAGGAATGGGCGCCTCGGAGGGGCCGACACCGGCTGCACGCAGCAGATGTCGTGACCCCCCCTTTCCCAATCCCCCCCCCCTTTCGCCCGGCCCGAAGAGTGCAGCCGTCACCTGCCGCCGCTCCCCAGCACGCTCTGGATCACGTTGTTCAGCGGGCGGGTGAACGCCATGAAGCCGGCTGCCATCTCGGAGCCGCAGAGAGAGGGGGGGGGCAGGGGTGCCGAGAGGCCGGGAGGAGCAGCACGGACGGGGGAGGGACTGGGGAGGCGGGCCGGGGGGAGAGGAGAGGAGAGAAGGGGGGGGGACGGGCGGACAGAGGAGGGAGGGAGGAGGGAGCAGGATGCACGCTGCCATCCACCCTCCCAGGACCCGATGAGGTAGGAGGAGGGGAGGGGCGGAAAATGATCGGGGGAAGGGGGGAGGGAGGCGGCAAGGAGGCGGGGAACGGCGAAGGGCGTAAGAAGGGATGGATGAGGCAACGAGTCCGGGGGGAGGAGCATGAGGGAGGGAACGACCAGAACAAATCTCTGATGCATCAACGAGGTAATCCACACTCTGCCGTCCCAAGTCCGCTCCCCTTCAAACAGTACAACCAATCCATTTCACTACTTGGCGTGCCGCCTTGAACGACCAGCGCCCCAGTCGGAGCGCACACGAGAGGACACGCGACAGGACACGAGACCCTTCCGACGGCAACATGGCCTCCCACAGCCCACAAGATACAAAGGGCATGAGGCCGCGACCGCGGTCCACCGCGGCCGACCCGCAACCTCGCGAAGGGATTCGATCGCTGCGCAGGGTATTAAGTGAGGCCGAGACCGCGGTCCACCGCGGCCGACCCGCAGCCTCGCGGAGGGATCCGATCGCAGGGCAGGACACCAGGGGGTATCCGACTGGTCGCGCCGCGCACCGCGTAGCACAAAGACAGCATGGCGCCCAACAGGCGCGCCCTCCCTCCCCCACTGGGGGGGGCGAGCGCGCGACCCGTCGCCACGGCAGAGGGCCGAAGAAGAATAAGAAGGGCGCGGGCGCGGAGGACAAGGGAACGAGGGCGCGGCCGCGGACACGCGCACCACCACCACCAACACCCTGAGGTCGCGGGAGGGGGGGAGGCGAAGCAAATCATGAGAGCCTCGGCAAGAGCCTCGGCGAGAGCCCTCGGAAGTGAAGCACGCATAGAGGCCGATCTAGAGGACGCCGAAGGTACACTTTCCGCGCCCCGCGACCTCACCCCGAATCCGATAGCGAATGAATTTGCGGGACGGGGCACGTACAGGACGCGCAGGATACCCTGGTGCGCGGGGGCGACCCCGAATCAACTCTTCGTTGGTTAACAGGGGGCGGAGCTGGACTCAGCGAACATAGCAGAGTCCCCTTCGCCGCTGCGCCGCGGGCACGGCGCCGATACTTGAAACTCTGAAGTCCAGACCGAAGCGACCCCAAACCCGAGAGGACGCGAGGGTACCATCGCCCAGAGGCGCGAGTCCGAACAAGCAGAGGACATGGGAAGGGATGGACAGGATACAAGAGTACCATTGATGTTGCAAGGTCGACCTGCCAATGCGCCCCGGCTGTAGCCAGTCGTGAGTCGTCGTCGTCGTCTTCCTCGGTCGTCGATCGTCGGCCAATGGTCGCCGCCGCCACCTGACTCTCTCGCGCGCGCGGCCCACTGGGCAGATGACGACGAGGAGAAGGAGAAGGATGATGATGATGATGACGAGGAGAAGAAGGATGATGTAGATGATGTCGATGTTGATGACGAGGATGAGGAGAATGATGATGATGACGATGATGATGATGATGATGATGACGATGATGATGAAGATGATGAAGATGATGAAGATGATGATGATGATGATGCTGAGGACGTGAATGAGAAGGGGGAGGATGAAGATGGCACTGAATATCAGGATGATGATAAGGAGGCGGAAGATGAGCATGAGGGGAAGAGAAATATAATCGAAGCGGAAGTGGGGATAGTGGTGATGGTATGATGATGACGTGGTGATGATGTGATGGTGGTGATGATGATGGTAACGATGCTGCTGAAGATGATGGTTCTGATGGTTGCAATAATGACTATGCTCATGCTGATGATGAGTGTGTTGATGCTGATTACGATGGCGATGGCCATGACGATGGCGATAACAATCCTGATGCTGATGATGCTGATGTTGCTAATGATGGTGATGACGATGCTGCTGATGATGATGATTCGAATGCTGATACTGATGATACTGAAGATGAGTATGATGTTGATGATGATGCTGCTGCTGATGATGATGTTGATGATAATGTCGAAGAGGAAGATGAGAGTGCTGGTGATTGGGATGGTGGTGATAATATATATATATATATATATGTACAGATATGGTGATGGTGATGGTGATGGTGATAAGTGATGGTGATGGTGATGATAATGATGATGATGATGATGATGCTGATGATGATGATGATGATGATGATGAAGAAAGTGGTGAGTATGGATGGTTACGGTGCTGATGGAGATGATGATGGAACTGATGGGTGACACGAATGTTCACAGATGGTGATGATGTCGATGACGAGGACGGTACTGACAATGATGATGATGCTGATGATGATGATGATGATAATGATGATGATGATGCAGATGCTGAAGCTGATGATGTTGTTGATTATGGGTATACTGAGTAAGGTTTTCTATAATAGTATGATGGGCGAGGTTTGGTGATGGCAATGATGGTGGTCGTGATTCTGAAGATTGTATCAAGGTGGACGAAAGAAGGGATGGGGAAAACAGTTGGGATGATGGTGATCATGGTAAGAATGATGCTGCTGATGATGATGCTGCTGATGACGAAAACGATGATGAGGTTGGATGTCCTGGCGTTCCAAGCATTCCTGGCTTTCCCGGCTCCCCCTGCGTTCCCGGCTGGCGTTCCTGGCGTTTCAGGGGTTCCCTGCCTTCTCGGATGGCGTCTTTCCCGAAATCGGATGTTCCTGATCTTCCCGGCCTTCCCGGATGACCCAGCCTTCCCGGCCTCCGGCGTTCCCAGAGCTTCTGGAGCTCGGACCCGGCCTTCCAGGCGTTCCTGGCCTTCCCGGCTGGCGATCCTGGCGCACCCGAGCTCGATCAGGGTCCCTCCCTTCACCGTCGGCCCGGAGGAAAGGGGAGGAGGAGGAAAAGGAGAGGGAGGGCGGAGAAGGATGGCATAGAAAAGGCGCGTCCTTGGCCTGGCCCATCCGGTCCTCGATGGACTCACTGGCGGCCGCTTCATTTTGCCCCCGCGGCCGGGGGAACTGCCGACTTCTCTTCGGTCGCTCCTCCTCGTTCTCCTCCTCCTCCTCCTCCCTCTCCAGCTCCTCCCTCATATCATATCCCCTCTCGTCTCCCCCCGTCATCCTCTCCCTCCTCGTCTCCCTCCTCCTCCTCGTCCTCCTCGTCCTCCTCATCCTCCTCATCCTCCTCTTCCTCTTAGCCTATTCCTACTTCCTCCACCTCCTCCCACGGTCCGGGATGGACTCTCCGGCAGGACCTTACCTTTTCTGCTTGCCGCCAACGCGGCCACTGCCTGGAGAAGAAGGCGCTTGCGCGCGACTTCACATGGGCAGCTGACGGAAGAATGTCGGCGCGATCGATCCCATTTGTTGTACCTTACGTGTGTGACGTCGCTTCTGGTCCACATCCTGTCAGGCCGCCGTCCTGGCTGTCAGGACCGGCGGGTTGTTGAAGACAACGTCGACGGCCTCGTCGTAGGTGGAGCCGCGCACCTGCCCAGGCAAATATGGCCAGACAGGGATCGGCGAGTCTCAACGGCGCGCACAAGAACGGGTGGGGTCTCTCTCTCTCTCTCTCTCTCTTCATCTCTCTCTCTCTCTCTCCCTCCCCCTCCTGATTCCCGATTCCTGGTTCCTGGTGGCTGCAAGATCCCCGGGATGCAGCATCCGACCCACAGGGCCAGTCGGCCCTGGGGGGCTGATCAAACTGGGCTTGGCTTAGGTCGGGCATGTCCCCCTACGGGCGGATTTTGAACGACAGTTCAATGATAACCTAAAACGATCAAACATACTTAGCAAACGATTTCTTAACTATCTCCTGTGGAGGGACAGGCCCGACTTAAAACTAGGCCCAATACTCCGCGAGGCGTCCAGGGACGTGGTTTTTGAGCGGATCTGGTCCGGAGGGCAGGGCGGGGCGGGGGGGGGCTGCGAGGTGTCCCCCGGGGCCGTAGGCGACCCGAGGAAGAGGAGGAGGAGGAGGAGGAGGAGGAGGACGAGGAGGAGAAGGACGAGGGAGAGATGGAGGAGGAAGAGGAGAAAGGGAGGAGGGAGGAGGGAGGAGTGAGGAGGGAGGGAGGGAGGGAGGGAGGGAGGGAGGGAGGGAGGGAGGGAGGAGGAGGAGGAGGAGGAGGAGGACGAGGAGGAGGAGGAGGAGGAGGAGGAGGAGAAGGAGGAGGAGGAGCCAGATGCCTTGGCAGCTGTCTGCATTCGTTTTTCGATGCCAGGGCTGGTGGCTCGCTACAAGGGCTTTGCGGTAGAGGTCGCCTGCGGGACCCTTGGCTGCAAGTCCTTATGGCCCGCTTCAGCGCAGGGCCAAGTCCGAAAAAAACACGCACAAATCATGGAACCTATTTTCGGCGGGTGGCTTAGGACCTAATGGCCAATCGCCCACGACTCAGGATGACTGCCTGAACTCGGCTGAGGTGCAAGGCCAGTCCGTACCCTCCCCCCATCCACTCTCCACTCCCACTCCGTCTCACTATCTACGAACGGGCCTCTACAGCGCTCGAGATGTTGTGCGAGGCCCGCGAGGGCCAACACACGACAAAACTCAACAGTCGCCGGGCGACGGGTCCAACGGAGCAATGTCGGCCCAAGGCCAGGAACGCGGAAGAGAGAAAAAGGGGGGACCCGAACAAAAACATTGCACACGCGAGCGCGCTCTCGAGCTCCCTCTTCCTGCCATCAGCCGCAAGCCGTCGAAGTTCAACGCGCATGCGCTTGCCTGGCCCTGAGCGCCGCATGGATCTGCCGCTCGAGCCCCGATGGGGGTGGGGCTCCGTGGACCATCGCTGCGCCCTGCTCGTCGAGCGCCGTCGCTGTGGCCCGCCGCAGATCCGCCAGCGCGCACCTGCCGAGCTGATCTTCGGCCCCTTGGTTTCCCGTCCGAGTGCATTGAGCTGTTCCTGCCAGTCTGCGCTCCACGGGGAGGCTGCCATGCTGTAGAACATGAGGTATACTTTCCATTTCTCGGCCTGGCCATTCTCGGCGTGTGCTTTCTCCATCTTGAAATCTCTCACCATGTCTCCGAACACGTTCATCGACGCGGTTTCCGAAAGCATGGGAAACTCCTCTACGATGGCTTTGGCTTCTCCTTGCAGCTTGTCCGACCTGCTCAACCCCGATGTGCACGCGCGGGGGGGGCTTGCTGAATCGCGCGTGCATCGCTGGTGCGCTCCGCGTAGGTGACGCCCGCTTCTGCCCCCGCGCCCGCGGCCGCGTTCACTTCTGCGACTAGAACGAAGTTCCAGAAGCTGCCCGACACCATGCGGATCATCTGGGCGTCGTTGAGTCTGAGCTCTTGCAAGTGGACGATCCCCTCCTCGAGCGAAGTGTCTCCTGGTCCAGCTGCATTGCCAATTGGCCTCTTCGGGTTGTCACGCTGCTGCTTGGGCCTCGGTGCTGCCGCGCCGTTGCCGCCTCTGCCGCGTCGCTTCGCGGCCCGCTAGGCTTCCCTGCCGCGGCTCTCCCCGACGTCGCTGGGCCCAGCTCAATGGGTCGTAGCGCGTAGATGGCCTGCCCTTCGAGCTGAGATGCGAGCGATGTGGCTCGAGTAGGGCACTGCGGCGGGTTTGACTTCGACATGGCAATGGCGCGTCTGAGACGCGAGGCTCTGCCGGCAAAGCTTGCGCGGCACCGTGGGCGCACATTTGCCTTTACGAACATGAAATGGGTTTTCCTCACGTTGCGGGCGTGCGCGACGTGCGCCGTGAGTGCCTTAATCACGGTGGAAGACATCCCGCATCATTTCCCTTCGCCCTCCTCGCCCACCTCGCGCGCGCTCTCGTCCGAAATGGCGCTGCCGTCGGTCGCGTCGCCATCGTCGCCCTCGTGTTCTATGAAATGTACGCTGCTGCTGTCCGCCGCCAAGATTCTTAATATTATAAGTAGCCGTTGAACGTGTTTCGCCCCGTCGCGGCTCCAGAGTTTCCTGACGGGGCCCAACTGTGTCCCACCGAACTGGCCCCCTGCCCCTGGGTCCTGGAAAACCCTCAGGGCGTTGTCCCTAGCCCGGCGGGCGGCGTCAAATCTCGCGTCTATTTTTGCCGGCGTTTCCAAGTCGCCACTGAATTGGACGGCCCATGGGGCGCCGTGATCCGCGAGCCCCCCCAAGGCCCCCACTCTCGGTGGCTCGATGGGGCGGTCCAACTCCAGGGCCCGGAAGACAGCCGAGAGAACCTTTTTGTTGTTTTGAGGCCCCCGAGCAATTGGCCGTCACCGCCGCGACCTCTGGATGCGCAGCTCGGCGGCCGCGCGACTCCAGCGCTGAAAGACAGCCCTGGCGCGACCGTCGTAATCGGTCTTCGCCTTGCCGCGCATCTGGCACCGCAGCATTCGCGCGGGCGCTCGGTCCGGGGCGCGGACTCCCCCGCGAATGGCTCCGTGGACACGATTTTTGCCCGCCCATCTCCCGCGCCGCCTCGAAGGGCCCCGGCCCCGCGAATTGACGAGGTGATCCGTTATAACTGCGTTCGCGATGCGGCCGTTCTTCGGCGCTGGTTTCTGCGAGTTCTGGACAGGGCAATTCAACTGCGGCGCCCTGCACTCAGCGTTGGGGGCTCATGCATGCACGCGCATGCGAGATGCATCACCCACGAAGAGGCGCATTCCAGCGTCTGCATCTTCGCGAGAAACTGGGCGCCACCCTCGCAACCAGCTGCAGCCGACACCGGCTGCTGCGAGACAACTGTTCCACTCGTCCATCGCAGGCATGTAGATGTCTACCAAATCCCCGCCGGCCAGCGAATGCCGCACGATTGCTCTCGATGTTCGGTGAAAGTCTACAACCCCGTCGCGCGCTTCGAAATGCACCGCTACTTACTTCGCTGCTTGCTCGAGCAGTGCGATGTTTTCTGGTCTGGCTGTTTTCTGTTGCGGGTTGCGCGCGCAAAAGCATTTGCGCCGTAGCAGTTGCCCAGCGCGCGGCTTGCTCGCGCCTGTCTACGCCGCCAGAACCCCGCAGAGGGGCTCGAGATATACCCTCCCCCCCCCCGCCCAGCGATGCCCCCAAAACCCGCCGCGTGAAAAATCGACGGGGGGGGGGGGGGGGGGGGGGGGGGGGTCTCCTGGAGGTCTCCCGACGGTTGTCCAAAGTGCGACATCGCGAACGCGTCGAAACAGCGGAATGCTCTCTAGCCCTTGACCCCCATCCTGTTGTCTTTCTTACTCCGGAAGAAAAACTGGGGCCCCACGGCGCTCAAGGGGTCTCGCCTGCGACCCTGGCCAACGCCGGCAGTGCATGACATCTCCTGCTGAAGTTCTCGGGTGCGAACTTCCTGTCGCGCTCGTTGGCGCGGCGTTCAATGTCTTTGCGCGCGCGCGCTGCGTCTGCAAAGCCTCCCCAGCATGGTCATGGCATCCGTTCGGGCGCTCGTCGCACTCGCCGCATCAGCCCCGCTCGATCGTTCCGCATCGAGTCCGCAATGCCTGCGGCGTCGTTCAAGCGGGGGGGGGGGGCCCTCATCTTGCGGAGGAAGTCCCAATCCATCTGTCCACTGCAGCACTGGCATGCCCTGCCTGGCCGCGGAAATGAGGAATTCAGCGCTTCCTGGGGCGTCGCCCTGCGCTGGCGAGGGCAACCCAAAGCCGATGTAGCTCTGCATATCGGTGGCGCATCCACGCCTCGTCGACTTGCCCCACGGGCTTCTGAAGCTCGGTCCGCTTCTGATGTCGCGCCAGCTGCTGCAAGCGCCGAGACACGAACTTAGTATTGTTCTCGATTGCGTCAAACTGCGCAAACCCGTCTCCAGTGTATCCCTTGCTGCCCGCCCCCGCGATTTCGGCGCATAATTTTGACATTGCTCGTGGGAGCTCGATCCGCTTGGTTCTCGTGTGCTCGTGGCCAAGAAGTTGCTGTCCGTCTGTGCGGAACGTCTCCTGCATGGCGTCGCGCAGGGCCTGTGACACCATGCCCCGCCATGGCTGCGAATTCCCATGGTCGCTCATAGCCTTTCTACGCGCTCTCTAGTCTTCAGGAACTCGATCCGCTGGTGGCCCGTACTGCATGCACTCTCATCATGGTGTCGCGGCTGACTGCAGGAGTGAAATGGCTGTCTCATGCTCGTCACGTTGGCAAGTCCATATTCACATAGATGGGAACGTGGTCGTGTAAGTGGGTGGTCGTCTGTAGGTGCAGTCGCCGAGCCAGGTCCACGAGCGGGAGGATATGCTGTACTCGTTGTCTTGCTGTGATCGGCGTGATGAGGTGGTCGGTATTGTTCATGCACACACCGTTTGTAGTATTTCGGTCTTGTACGTCCGTTTGCATCCACAACCGTCATGTGGTTGCTCTCTAAAAATTATCATACAATATTACTCGTGGCTCGGCAATCCTCATATGGTCGTACTCGATGAGCGCACTCATGCCCGTAACATCCATTTGCCTACCGGACGAGCAATGGAGGTCCCCTGCAATGATTGGCATGCAATGGTGTCCTAGCTTGTCGGTTTCAGCCTCGCTCCACTTCATGATGCGGGCACTCAGCTTCTTCGGCGTATTCACGGCCAGCCTTTTCGGCGGCAGACGGGATGGAAACAGTGCAATCGAGACTGTGCCGACGCGCCCGGTGATACCCAACGAACGCGGTGGTGCTGCTGCCCGCTGTACGTTCTTCAGGGCAGAAATCTAAACAGCACTGCGATTCCGCATGATCTATTGACTCCTATGGAGTTTTCCTATACAAATCGAATTCACGCGTGGCGAGGCAGGTGGCATTGGCTGAAGTCATCATCCTCCCTGGCCGCTCGACCAGTCCCTATTGTAATGTACATGTGCAGGCTCTCCGTTTGCATCGCTATTTCTGCCGAGCGAATGCAGTCCGCCCATTGAACATTCTGGTACGCAAACTTCATGTCGCGAAAAAAGCAAGAAGAGACAATAATTAGTGGGGGTGCGATTTCTCGCCGCTGCTGCCCGAGCGGCCCTGTCCCCTGCGCGTCGCCCTGCGCGTCCCTAGCCACCTGTCAGTGGTGGCTGGGATCGGGGGTGGGCCGCGCGCAGGTGTCTGGGCCGTGGCGGCGGCTGGAAAAGGAGGAGGAGGAGGAGGAGGAGTAGGAGGAGGAGTAGGAGTAGGAGTAGGAGTCAAGCTAGCCAGCTCGAGCGAGTCAAGCATGGCATGCCCAGTCCCACCCGCCCTCCCACAACATAAGAAGCAAAGCTGGCACAACTGGGGGCCGAAGTCACACCGGCCAGCCGGTTTGGTACAGCTGATGCGGCCGCGATGGCGGTTGCCGACGGGAACTGGCGAGCGCGTGTTGAATGCCGCGCACGCATTGCCAGACGAGTCGAGAATGGCCCGGTACACCGCAGGAAGCCAGAGGTGGCCGGAGGAAGCCCGACGGTCTGACAGGACACCCCAAAGCATTTTTGTGAAAAAGCATTGGGTTTTTGATGTTTTTATGTTGAAATGCTTGCAAACACACGGTGTTCGGTAGGATTCTGACATGAACGCGCGAGTGTGCCCTTTGTGGTATTTTTTGCACAGGATTCGCGGCCTGGGTGCATGACAGAGCATCGCGAGTGCACCGCGCGATGACGTGAAATCGCTGGATTTGACCGAATTCTTAAGATTCCTATGGTTTTCCTATGATTTCAGCAAGAGAGCCCGGGCGGGAAATTTGTACAACTTTTGTGAAAAAGCATTGGGTTTTTGATGTTGTTATGTTGAAATGCTTGCAAACACACGGTGTTCGGTAGGATTCTGACATGAACGCGCGCGTGTGCTCTTTGTGGTATTTTTTGCAATGGATTATCGCCGTGGACGACAGGACGTCCATGTCGAGAGGAAAAAATAAGAAACATGTTGATTTTGTATTGTTTTTTTACAGGTTAGGATGGGACCACCCGGATGCGGCCCCTAATGGCCGGCCTGAGGGGGGAGTAGGAGTATATTCTAATAAGGAATAAGGATAGGAGGAGGAGGAGGAGGAGGAGGAGGAGGAGGAGGAGGAGGAGGAGGAGGAGGGGGGGAAGAGGAGGAGGAGGAGGAGGAGGAGGAGGAGGAGGAGCACGAAGGAGGAGAACGGGTCGCCTGAGCCCTTCGGAGAGGCCCTCCAGGGTGGGCGGGGGCGGCAGCCTCCCTCGAAGCGAACGGGGGGTTTGGCTCCCGCCGGAGGGGCACGGATCCGTCCGAGAAGCGTGCTCGGCAACGCGCGATGCTCCTGAGAGGTCCTCCCTGCCCCACACCTGAGCAGAGGAAGAACAGACAGCATAAGCATAAAAACTTGCGGCGCTCCGCGCGGATTTCTTGGGTTCGCGCTGGAGCCCCTTCCCTGGCGCGCGGAGCGCGCCAGGGGCGGCGCCGGAGGTGCCGCCAGGGGGCCCAGGGATTCAAGAGATCAGCGCGGAGCGCCACAAGTTTATGTGCATGTGGCTTTCTACTCTTCGATCGAAGTCTGCCCAAGTCGCATATGGCCCCCCCTTCTCCGCGCTGCCGACGGACGGCCCGGCGTGCAACCCATCGGCGATGCATGGGCGATTGGGGGTCGATGCGCATCCCCCCTGGAGCCTATCCTTCTTCACGTTGCCCCTGATCACGGGGCGGGACGGGGGCGGCGGAGGGAAGAGGAATCGGAATCGGAATCGAGCTCTAGAGGCACTGGGTTCGTCTGATCGTGTGAGATGCCTGGGCAACTCCTGGAACAATCGCCAGTTTGTAACATTCAGATCAAACCTGTCTTCGCCCTGAGGACCTCTTCAGGAACTTCTGGGGAGCCGGATATGCAGGCAGGAGCTCTGCACAAGCGGTCTGAGGCACCCTCGCTTGCCGACTGAACTGAGGGGCCTCCCCGCACCGCCACAAACCACGAGAGACTCTCGGGGCGGAAGTGCGGGGCGAGCCACCCCGCCCTGGACAGTGGGGACACACAGGCCGAGCTCACCATCCAGAGCACGACTGGCTCCCTTCCTGCATCCAGCCTCAAGCCTCCTCCAAAAGGTTGCTCAAAATCTGGGTTCGGGGGGGTGGGCGAGTTCGGCTCCCAGACGAGGGCTCAGCGGCCTGAGAAGCATCACGGACGGCCACTCACCCGCCCCCCTTCCCCCTTCCCTTCCCCTCCTCCTGCGCAGAGAGAGAGAGAGAGAGGCAGCCGCAGTCGCCCGCGTGGATCCCGACGCCCCCCGGCACTCCACAGACAGGGGGGCGGCACACCGCCGCGGCCGCTCTCTGCAGGCGCGCGCTTCCGCTCGCAGGGCGAGGAAGAGGGGAAGCGGCAGCAGCGAGGTGGGGCGGACAAGAGTCGGGAGCGGCCAAGAGGGGGGTGTCCAAGAGGGGGGGGTGCAAATCATGACCGGCGGCATGTGCGCGGCCCAGCGGGGGGGCCAGGGACGTAATGAAATAAGAAGAGGCGCCCTGAAATCTGGGGAAAAATCATGGCCCCCGCCATGATATCCACCCCCGCCTAGTCATCACCCCCCTCTTTTCCGCCCCCGAAAGAGGCGGACCGCGGACCACGTGCTGGGACCCCGGGAGGCGGGAACTCGAGTCGGCCTGCCAGCGGCGCGGTGCAGAGAGGCCCGGGGCCCTGCCCAGAGAGGGCCCAACGACGGCCTCCGACAGCCAAGAGGACCCCGCAGGCCCCCGGAGGGCCCCCAGAGGGCCCCGAGGGGCCACTCCGAGGCCCCCAAGAGGCACCCAGGAAACACCCAGGAGGCCCCTGAGGGGGCCTCGAGAGGCCTCCTCCTCCTCCTCCTCCTCCTCCTCCTCCTCCTCTGCTTCCCTCTCCTGCGCCCTCCTCTTCCCCATTTCCAAGCGTTCCCCCAACAGGGGTCCACAACTTGCTTCGGGAATGCATTAGAGTTTGGCCAGAGTTCGGCCCAACGTCTGGCCGCGTGGGCGTTTCCCAAAAAGGCAGGGGTATGGCGGTGATTCGCCGTAGAGGCGCCTTCGATCGCACAACAATGGCGTGCCGCGCAATGTCTCCAGGACTTTTAATTGTGAACGAGTTCGGCATGGTCCGTTATTCAAGAAGCTCTACACATGATGGTTGGGAAACATGGCGACGCACGTGTTTTGTATGTTTCTGCCTTCGGGCCCTGCCCGGGCATCGGGAGCGCCAACACAAAACGACTGGGTCGAAGAACCGATCCATGGGAAGGGGTCCAGACCACTGCGGGTCCACGATGCAAAAATAGCACGATGTCTGCAAGGATTGGACAGGACCCGCAAGGGCCGAGGCAAGCTTCCAATACCTGACCGCTTGCTTCGGTCCCGATGCAACTGAATAAATATGTTGGGATGAAGAACTGGAGCTCGGAGGAGGAGCCGTGGAAGGTGGAACTGGGAGGAGGAGGAGGAGGAGGAGGAGGAGGAGGAGGAGGAGAAGAGGAGGAGGAGGAGGAGAAGGAGGAGGAGGAGGAGGAGGAGGAGGAGAGCAGCGATAGCGAACCGCCCAGGGATGCCCAGGGGGGTGGCCGCGCCATCGCGTCGAACGTGCCCTGGGTGAAGTCGGAGTCCACCACGAGCGGCATGCAGTCAACGTTCATCAGCTCGATGGCCTCTGGAGGCCCGCCCGCTTCGTAGGACCGGCTCGATCTCGGCTCGGGTATGCGGCACGCGCCCCTACTCCGATCGGCGGATCGACCGGGAGCGAACTGGCTGGAGCGACAGGGTCGAATCAAGTGCCGGGCTTCGGAGGACGAGGATGAGGAGCGACGAGGGAGGCCGAGCAATGGAGGCGGACGGCGAGGAGGGGGAGGGCGGGGAGGAAAGGAGGGCGGGAGACGGCTGGCGTGCCATCCGCGCTCCGCGGTTCGATGCGGAAGGGGGGGCACGCGCGGAGGGGGCGCGCTGGCTGGTGGGTGGGAAGATGCGGAGGGCTTGTATCGGGGATGGACAGACCCCCCTTTAGTAGAACGTGGTTTAGTGAAAACGACCTGAGGCCCAAACCTGGCGGGCGCAAGCCTGGAAAATAACGGCCACGGCGCCCTCTCGAGAACCGAAAACGGACAATTCACTAATCGACGTGTCACTGTTGGGGGTTCTGTCCACCCCCGATTGTAGGAAGGCGTCGGGGCGAGGCGGTGCCGTGCCGACATAAAAAAGGTCGGGCCGGAGGTGGCGCTCTGGCTGGTGGGTGGGGGGTGCGGAAGAGGCGCGCGGGGTGCGGGGGGGGCGGTGCCGTGCCGAAAGAAAAAGGGCCGGGACGGAGGGGGCGCTCTGCCGTGCCGAGAAAGAGGGGTCGGGACGGAGGGGGCACGCAAGCTTGCGCGTGGGGTGATGCAGGGGGGGCGCGCGGGATGGGGGGGCGGTGCCGTGCCGAAGTGCAAACATCGGGGCGGAAAGGGCGCGCTGGCTGGTGGGTGGGGTGATGTGGAAGGGGCGTGCGGGATGGGAGGGGGGCGGTGCCGTGCCGAAATGGAGGGTCGGGGCGGAGGGGGCGGCGCCGTATCGAAATAAAGGCATCGGGGCGGAGGTGGCGTGCTGGCTGGCGGATGGGTGTGTGCGGAGGGGGCGCGTGCTGGAAGGGGAGCGCTGGCTGGTGGGTGGGAGGATGCGGAGGGTTTACAGTCAGGGATGCGCGCGTTGGCTGGTGGTTGGGGGGTGCGGAAGGTGCGCGCGGGATGAGGGAAGCGGTGCGGTGCCGAAATGAAGGGGTCGGGGCGGAGGGGGCGCGCTGGCTGGTGGGTGGGGGCGATGCGGAAACGGGGCGCGCGGGATGGGGGGTACCGTGCCGAAATAAAGAGGTTGGGGCGGAGTGGGCGCGCTGGCTGGTAGGTGGGGGGGATGCGGAGGGGGCGCGCGGGATGGGGGGGTGGCCGTGCCGAAATATAAAGGTCGGGGTGGAGGGGGCGCGCCGGATGGTGGGTGGGGGGGATCCAGAGGGAACGCTGGCGGGTGGTGGGGTGGGGGGGGCGCGCCGGGTGGTGGGTGGGGGGGATGCGGAGGGGGCGCGTGGGATGGCGGGGGGGCCGTGCCGATGTAGCGGAGGTGGCGCTCTGGCTGGCGGGCGGGAGGGATGCGGAGAGGGCGCGTGCGGGATGGGGGGGGTGCCGTGCCGAACTAGGGTCGGGGCGGAGGGGGCGCGCTGGCTGGCGGGTGTGGGGGGATCCGGAGGGGGCGCGCGGGATGGGGGGGGGACCGTGCCGAAATAAAAGGGTCGGGGTGGACGCGGCGCACTGGCTGGTGGGTGGGGGGGTGGTGGTCTGGGTGGGTGGGGCGGGTGCCGTGCCGAAATAAAAACGGTCGAGGTGGAGGGGGCGCACTGGCTGGCGGGTGGGAGGATGCGGAGAGGGGGCGCGCGGGATGGGGGGGGCGTGCCGAAATAAAAGAGTCGGGGCGGACGGGGCGCGCTGGCTGGTGGGTGGGGGGATGGGGTGGGGGAGATGGGGGCACCCTGGGGGCGCGCTGGCTGGTGGAATGGGTGGGTGATGGAGGGGTGCCGTGCCGAAAGAAAGTGGTCGGCGATCTAGAGCACAGCTGTGCAAGAGCGTAGTGGGTTGGGTTGGGTTGCGGTGGTGTAGTGGGTGGTGACAAGATGGCCTGGACCTGCCATGGGGGATGTGCGATACATGACGTCGAGACGCACGTGTGTGTTTGTGTGTGTTTGTGTGTGTGGCCGCCTGAGGCCCCACCTTCCTGCGCCCTGTCTCCCTCCTTAAAGCTGCGTGCAGCCCTCCCAGCTTTGAGCGGAGGAGGTTCGCTCTCGCCCCGCCGACCAAAGGTGTGTGTGTGTGTGTGTGTTTTCAGACGTTTGCGAGTAACCACTTTTGGCGAGCAGCGGGACGCTGCTCGGTGCGTCTCTCTCTCGCCACTCCTCCCCGCTGGGGTGGCGGGCGAGGGGGGCCCAGGGGGCCCAGGCCGCCGAGCCGCCCCGAGGCATGTGCGGCGCGCACCGCCCGAGCCACGGGGAGGAGACGAGGACTGACAGAGGGAGCCCCAAGGAGGAGAGGAAGAGGGGGAGGGGAGGAGAAAGAGGAGGAGGAGGTGGAGGAGGAGGAGGAGGAGGATACCCCTATCCTATATCCGATCCTCTTGTTCTACTCAACATGCTCGTCCCGATCCTGTCTCTATCCCCACATCCGAGACACCTCCCACAAGAGATCCAACCCTGAGACCCCAGGACGTCCACATGGATTCTCGGTGCGGGAGCGTCGCGCTCCCTCCACGGCAACAGCGATCGAGGCCCGAGAAGCCCAGGGCACCCTGGAGGCAAGCAGGGTGTTTCTTGACATGGGCTTCCACTGCACGCACGAGACATTCCAGGCCTCCGGGATGGGGTCGGAGCATCGCGCCGCATCGCCGATGCATCGGCGATGCGGCTCGCTGTGGGGCCCAATGTTCTCCACGCCAGCGCTGCGGATGTACCGCCGAGGTCGCCAGCGCATGACATGGCCGACGCACCGGCGATGCACCGCGGACGCATCGGCGGTGCGGCGCGATTGAAGGGGCCCAGGGACACACAAATTAATAGACACTAATCAAAGGATTCCCCACATTTTCCTATATCTTCTGGCTTTCTGTCTTCCCCCCCACTTCCCATTGTTTCCCATATCTTCTGGGGAATCGGGGGCTCCTTGTGCCTGTGTGCTTCTTCTCCTGCTGAGCGATGCTCCGACTCCACCTGCCCGGGCCCCGTCCGAGAGGCCGCTGGACAGGACATGGCGACCTCGTGCGCGGTGGCTTGCGCAGGCCCGCGCAGAGCGACCCCGCGCTGGCCTCCGTCGCGCAGCGGAGGCTGGCCCTTTGTTACAGGCCCCAGGGGATCCCGAAGCGGGCTTCAGAAGACCCGAGACACCCGACGCCCTGGTCCCTTCCTAGTATGTCGACCCCCGTGCAGAGGTCTCGGCACCGCCCCCGGAAGCGGGCCCCAGAACCCCCCCAGACCCCAGATCCCCGACTCCACGATCTGTTCAGAACATCGACCTCCAAAGGTCTCGGCCCCTCCCCCGGGACCGGTGCTTCATCCTGAAGGTCGTTTTTGACGGTCCCAGGGCCCGGAGATGGCCCTCAGAGGCCGAAACGAAAGAGGAACCTCCCGTCGTGATGTTGTTCATGGCCCGAAGGGGCCTGTGACTGCTGGGGAACGTCGTCGACGCTTTCTATGTGTTGCTTGCTCTGCCTTGATTTTGTCCCCCAATTGTATTAATGTTCTGCTCGTCCGACTTAAATATATGTATACATATATACATTTACATCTATACATATATATATATATATGTATATACACATATATATATATATATATATATATATGTGTTTCCGCGCCCCCCGGGTCCCGGCCGGGCTCGACATGGCCCCAGGATCGGTGCACACTCCCTCCCAGTCTGGCCAGGGCGGCACGTGCACTGGCAGGGGGCGGTGAGATGCCGAGGGGCGGCGTCCACCGGGAAGCCCCGGTGGGGGAAAGGCAGGAGCCCCCGCTGCCTCGTTTGAAGGCGCATGGGGAGGGGGGACGGGGAGGGGTGGCCCGCTCATGTATGCACCCTGGAGCTCAAGATTTTTTGAAACCACGTCACGCGCGTCATGTGGGTGGGTGGGTGGGTGGGTGGGTGGATGGGTGTGGGTTCGCCTGGTACATACCACAACACACTGCACGCGCACTGCGAACAGCATTCCTGTGCTAAAAAAACAACAGGCGCTGCTGCAAAGGGGGTGGGTGAAGCTGAGGGTTATGTTATCTACTCGGTGTGTGGGTGGGTTGGAGGCCAAATAAGGCGCGCTGTGTGTTCGAATCAACAACTTCAGCTCCTGAGATCCGACGCCGCGAAGAAAACTGGACCGTGCGTGATAGACACCTCTGGCTGAACCCTGGACCACGTCGTCCTGCCGCATGCCTCGAGCCAAATCGATCTGGAAGGGCCCCCCGGCCCGAGCAACGGCGCAGAATCCCTCGAGGCGAACAACTTTCAACGCCTGGATCTCGGGGATGTGCCCAACAGCAAGGACTGCGCGCGGCTCTCTCTCCTCGCCAGCGCCTCGAGCCGATCGCAGCCGCGAGAACGGAAAGGGCCCCCCCCACCCGAGGCGGCTCCCAGCGAGCGGGCTGCGGGCAATAGTTATATCCACATCCAGTGCGTCTTGGAGTCTGGGGCTCTCTTGCCCAGAAACCGCAGACGCACTGGATATGGGTAAAAATCTGGCCCCAAGAGGCTCGATGTTATCCATATCCAGTGCGCCTCGGCGTTGCGGCACCTCTTCCTAGAAAATCCAAGACGCTCTGGATATGGATATAAGTATTGCCCGCACGGGCATGGGTGCGGGAAGTGGGCCCTGCGCGAACTCAGTGGAGCCTTGTCGGGTGTGAGCTTCATGTACTCCTTCAGGCGCAGGAACCGGTACTTGACATCGTCCTCGCGACGGGGCAGAACGGAAGGGGGGGCAAGGACGGACGGAGGCCCTCCGTCTGTCCTTCCCTCATTTCCACGCTGCCTCTCTCATCTCTCTCGTCTCTCTCCCTCGCTCTCCCTCCCTCTCTCTGCGCATCCGTCTCTCATCCTTCTAGTCTGCCGGGAACACCCTCTGTCACACACTCCTCCATCCCTCCGCCGGAGAAGTGAGAGGAGAGGCAAGCGCGACAAGGCAATGCTGCCACTCTGGATCGAGGCATCGTGCGTTGAGGAGCACAGCGGTGCGCATACGTCGAGAGCGCAGTGCAAGCAAACCTCCCGTGGACGAAGTCGTGCACCAACCAATGGCCTTCCTCCTCCTCCTCCTCCTCCTCCTCCTCCTCCTCCTCCTCCCTCTTCCTCCTCCTCCTCCTCCTCCTCCTCCCTCTTCCTCCTCCTCCTCCCTCCTCCTCCTCCTCCTCCTCCTCCTTCTCCTCCTCCGTGAGGAGCACGGCGAGCCCAGGAGGGGGAGCGAGGGAGAAAAAGGCAACAATACAAGGGGTGATAGCGGTAGGCCCCGCCCCTAGAGATCACCTGGTGTCCGGGCTGCGCTCCACTCAGGGACGACGGGCGGCATCCGCAGTCGCAGACAGCGGCAAATAAACATCGCGCAGCAATGACCAATATAAGGGAACGGCTGCAGAGAAACAATGGAAGGCAGAGAACGAGAGATACATGAACACTTAGACTACCTTGTAAACGCCCAAAGGCAACTTTTATAGCTCACATCTTTCATTCAAAAACTCATTCATCAATAATTTGTGGCTGGCATTCCTTTGTCGTTTCCAGGTTTCCGTGGCGATGCGTTTTTCGATCGCTTTCGACGCCAACCCGAAGAAACGTTTCAGTGTTTGCCCCACTTCGATTTTACATCGAATCCCAATATGCCTTCCAACGTGCTCTGTTGTACCCGGTATTGCTTTGTCTGGGCGTGCATTGGCAATCACCTGGCAGCAATGAGGCACCAGCACGCAGCAAAGGCAACAAACAGCAAGTAGCAGCGTGCAGCAGGGAACGGCAGACATGATCAAGCGGGGAGTTGGCGGCTGCAGCGGGCAGCAGGTGCAAGAGAGAAGCCTTTTTGGAGAGAGCGTCGAGCTCTCATCGTGCGTTGCCTGTCAATCGCTGACCGACCCCACGGACCCCGGAGTGCGCGTGTCAGAGCTGGAAGCGTCGTCGGTGTCATAACGGCGGCGGCGGCGGCATCGTAACGGCGGCCTCCGCGGCGGCGACGACGACATCCTAAATGTTTGCGCCTCCCCTGGGCCCAAAAATCATAGTTGCCTGTTCGAGGCCGCTTCCAATAAGCCCCACCTGCGTTTTCAACGCGTTCCCAACCCCCCATTCTACTGGATCGGACAGAGACTGACAGGTATCGCCCGATAAGACCTTAACGCTCTCCAAAAAAACTTATCTGTTGCACCTCCTGCCCGCCTCAGCCGCCAATTTCCTCCTGTGCTGCTTGGTAATGCCACTGCCTGCGGCTACTGCCTGCTGCTACTGATGCCCGCTGCGCTGCTCCGTACCCATTATCATCGATACTCTTGCGTTGCACCCGATGTTCACGAACCCGCTGTGTTATAGTTTCGAGGGTGGCGTTTCCTTACCGACCGTATCCAGCCCGCGCCGGCACATTTCAAAATACGTTGCACACGATCGCGCGGACACTCGAGATCCCCGCGGCAGAGGAGGAAGGGGAGGGGGGCCAAGCAACTGAATGCCACTTCCCCTGGCGGCCCGATCCGCTCGGCCCGGCGCGCTGCCAGCGCCGCGCACCAAGCCACCTCGCCCCCGCCAGCGCGCGCCGCCGGCACCAGGAGGAGCGCCGCTGCCCGCGGCGGCAGCACGGGGGCCCAGCACGGGCACGGCCGCGCCGCGAGCGCACGCCACCGCGGCGCCGAGCCGCCGCACCTGAGGCACGCCACCCACGCTGGCCCCTGCATGGCCGCGTGCGCCTGCCAGGCGCGACCGGCGAACAACGCGCGCGCGGCCTCGCCGGGCGGCGGCGGCGCCGCGTCGCCTCCGCGGCCCCCTCGGCGGTTCGGGCGTTCGGGCGGCGCGCCCCGGCGCCGGCTGGCGACGGCGCGGACGCCGGCGCCGTCCCCGGCGCGCCCGGCGGCTGGCGGCAAGGGCGCAGCCGGGCAGCAGTCCAGCGCCGCCGCGAGCGCGGGCCGCTCTGCCCGCTGCTGCCGCGATTCGCCTTCAGGGCGGCGAGCTCCACCTCCGCTAGCAGCCACTGCGAGACTGCGAGAGCCCGCAGCCGGCGGTTCCGCGCGGCGCGAAGATCAGGCGGCAGCATCCGCGTCGCGGCGGCGGCGCCGGCCAAGAGGTCGGCCGCCGCGCTGCCTTCCCAGACCTCGGCGCTCACCCCGCGGGCTCGCGCGGCCGAGGCGCCCGGATGCGCCTTGCCCCAGCGCGCCGAGGCGGTGAATTCCGCTCGCTGCGCCGTTCGCGCGCCGCCGGCGGGGCCGCTGCTGTCGACGCGGCCTGCGCCTGGACGCTCAAGCCGCAGCCCCCGCGGCGCCCGCGCCAGCACAGGGTGGCAAGGGCGCAGGCAGGCGCCGTCCGTCCAGGCGCGGAGCCTCCGCGGGCGCGGGCCCGGCTGTTCTGGGGCCGGCACGGGGGGCAACGCGAGCGGCGCGCTGGCCGCCGCCGCCAGAAACTCGAGGCGGGCGCCCACCACGGCCAGCACCCAGGAGAGCGCCACGCCAGACGGCCAGGCGGCCCAGAGCGAGGCCTCTGTGAAAGCAGACCCCTGCAGAGCCGTGCTCCGAGCGGAAGCCCGAGCTGGGCAAGCCCAGAAGTGGTGCCCCCGGTCCTCGAGCGCGGCGCTGCGCTGGGGGCAGGTCGCTGGCCGGCCCCACTTCGCGGCAACAAACTCAATTATCGCGTTGCCGGCGAGCGCCGCGCGGAGTGCCCCAGCCGCGTCCTGGGCCAAGCCTTGCGCAGCACTTGCTGGGTGTCACGCAGGGCTGCGTCGGCCGGCCGTCACCCGTCTGGGCGCCCAGGGATGCCGCGCCAGAGCTCGACGTCGGAGCCGAGCCGAAAAGTCGCTAGGCTCCGCGTGGCCGCCGCGATCGGCCCGCTCCCGCGCCCCGCGAAGATGGTCCCCACTGCCTCCCTCCCGCCACAGATCCCGTGGGAATCTGCCGCGTCGGAGCGCTTTCACCAGCTGCCACAGCGGCGCGATCGTGACCGCGGCCAAGGGGTCGAGGCGTCACGTCGGGCTCAGAACGCCGAACACCACCTCGGCCGCGGCGCGTAGCCCGCTCCGGCACGCCGCAGGCGGTCGTCCACAGCCCCCATGCGCCGGAACCACGAGTGCGTGAGCACGCTGAGGATGAAGACCGCCAGGGCGCAGCCCAGCAGCAGGCCCCGAGCAGGCAGCCAAGCTCCACCGATGGCGTGCCCGACGCAGACCCGTCGCCTGGCCGCGTGCGCACCCAAAGCTGGCTGGGCGACCCATGCAGGCATTAACGGCCGAGGATGTCCGGCAGTCTCCAGGTCGACACTGTCGTAGGCCGTCCGCCAGTCCACGGCTAAGCCTGCAAGTGCCTCCGAAAGGGCCTCGGCGGCTCCCAACTCCACGGCGAGCTCCCATACCAACTGCTCGGCGCCCCGCTGGTCATCCTCGCCGGCCCAACTGAAACGCCAGCTGGCGAACAGCCGCGCACGGCCAGCGGCCCTGACGCGGTATATCATGGGAAGGAGCCAGATGGGCCGACGCTCCATGGACCCAGCCCCGCCGCCAGGAATGGGGAGCAAGATGCCCTCGGGCTCTGCAAGCTCGGAGGGCCACTGGCCGCTGGCCACCACAGCATCCAGGACGTCGGAGATCCAACTATGCAGCTCCCGCGGAAGCAAACGCAGCTCTTTGACCGTCCACACGTCTGACCCGGGCCTTTTTCGGCGGGGCATCACAGCTGCCGCCACGGGCCTCGAAGAAGCGGAGGCGTGCCGCTGGCCCTCCCCGCAGCGCTAAGAGCACCGCCGCCCTGCCGCCTCTCCGGAGGCCGCTGGGTCCACCGCCGGATCGGGCACGAGATCGGCCTCGATGTTGCTGCCGCCACGGATCCAGCGGTAGAGGCGACCCTGCTCGTTGGACAAGCTCGTCTTGACCCAGTCGCGCCAGGCGTCTTGTCGGCGACTGCGGGCGCCAGCACGGGCCGAGCGCCAAGCGGCCTCCGCCTGCGCCAGCACCCCGTCGGGAAGCACCTCGTCCACGCTCGCCATGCCTCTTACCCAGCGTCTGCTGCTCGGAGAGCGGCGGGCGTGGCTGATGCCACTTCACGTGCCTTCGCCGCCGAAGCACGGCCCTGGGCATGCTGGATCCCGCGCAGGCGCCGAAGCCTGAGGAGGGCAACGTCGGCCGTTGCATCCGCTGCTTCGCCGCTGCCGCCAGCCGTCGCGGGCCGCTCTGCCTCGCAAGCTGATGCCGCATGAGGGCGTTCGGGGACTGTCCCCAGGCCCATCCGGGTAGCCAGCCACGACCGCATGGCGTGGCTGAGGGTGGCCCATGCGGCGTCCATGTCATGGATGCTCAGCGCACCGCGGAAGGCGCCCTCGAAACCCGCTAACACCGAAGCCGTGGTGTCCCTTGCTGCGACCGGCCCGCACCCTGCCTGAGCGGCACCGTCAAGGCGAACGACAGGTCGCCGGAGGAGGGCGCGCTCGGGGGCCTCTGCACGCAGCTCCACCATCAAAGCCGCGTGCGTGGCGATATAGTTTCGGGGTTCCGATATAATTTCCAGGTGCCGCGATCGTGCGGACACGTTGCTGTATAGTTTCCGGGTTCCGTTGTTGTTGTCCCTCGTTTCCTGGTCCCCGCTGTTGGCTCTCAAGACGTCAGCTGGAAACTGGAAAGGAACGCCCTGGGCGTGACCAAGGTACACTCATCATATACATACAGAAAAATGTACTTGCATATGTCTATATGTTTGCACGCGTAGTTCATTTGTGTACATATATATATATACAAAGATACACACGTATACATGCATGTGCATATATGTAGAGGGAAGGCAAGACGGATATAAGGGCACATATATGGTCAAAGCTGTAGAAAAAGAAAGAGAGAGAGACAGAGAGGAAGACACAAACAAAACAACAGCAACAAAAAGAAAACAACGACAGAGGGGGAGACAGAGCGGTTGACGACTCGGGCGCGGCAGGCAAGGGATTTCTAACACTAGAGGCCTCCTAGATTGAGTCGGAGTAGATGGGGCCGGAGGATCGCGCCGCATCGGCGATACGTGGGCGATACATCGCCGACGCATCGGCGACGCATCGACGTGGGTTCTCCTCCCTTTCGCTCTCCTGCCTCCTCCTCCCCGCCTTCTCCTGTATGGAGAACACATGAGGCGCGCCTCGCGCGTTGTCGCCATTGGCCAGGCCTCCTCGACGGCGGCCGCGCTTCTCGGAACCCCTCGCGCCTTCCGAGGAACCCTGCTGGCCTGCTCCGAGAGCCCGGGCGGCTCTGCACGAAGGCCCGAGGGCTCCCGAGAGGGCTGCCGCCCCCCCCTCACGCCCCCCTGGGGCTCGCCTCCGACCCTCCTCCCTGGAGGCTTGGACGCTCCTGGGCGCCTGGTCCACGATCGGGGAGGGATGACCGACGATCGAAGAAGTCTGCGGGCACCAACCAGGGGCTGTGACCGCCTCCTCCCTGCAGGCCCAGGAGCGCGGGGGGGAGGATCGGCGGCCGAGGCGGCTCAGGACGCTCCCGCTGACATGGGCCAAGGGCACCCGGAGGGGGCGACCCCCTCGGCGGCGGCGAGTACGCGTACGAGTGGCCCTGGGCAGGAGTGACCTTTGGCTCGCGATTGTCGGGGGCCGCGGGGAGGCCGAGCCGGAGCGTGCAAGCCGCTGCTATCGAGTCGCGCTCGGCCATCTGTCGCGTGGGCGGAAAGCTGGGGCAGGGGCGGAGGTGGCGACAGACAGACAGACAGACAGAAGCCTTGCGTCCAGGGGCGGAGGTGGCGTCCAGACAGACAGACAGACAGACAGACAGACAGAAAAAATACAAGTGACCAAACGTCACTCGAAACGCTCGAAGCACAGAGGTGTGACCAAACGCCACACGAAGCACTCGAAGCACGCGGTAGAGGAAAATCTCTCTAAATGCCCCCCCTGAAACAGGAAGTGTGAGCATCCAGGTTGGTCCGTTCCCGAACCTCACCTTGGGACCCCACCCTCAACGAACCCCTGAGTGTGGGGACCCCGGTGTGCCCGCACCAGAGTTCACTCCGGCGCAAGGTCGCTTTGATGTATAGCCGGCCTTGGCAATGCCTGGTGCAGGGGAAGAATGGGGGGCGCACTGGTCCGGGTCGATAAAGACCCACCCAGGTCAGTCAGGCTTTGAAAGATCCTGCAGGAGCCCGCAGGATCCTGCGCGCGAGCCCGGGTCAGTGCAACCCTGCTTTGCAGGACCCTGCGAGATCTGGCGCTCCTGCCGACTCCCTCCTCCTCCTCCCCCTCCTCCTCCTCCTCCTCCTCCTCCTCGTTCTCCCCGGTCTCAAAGCTCTCCCGACCGAGGGCGGCTCCTCACCGACCGGGGTGTCGATGAAGATGCCCGACTCGGAAGCCTTCTTGTACTTGTCCTTGAAAATCGCCCACGCCTCCACAGCGGCAGGGGGCACGGGCAGCGGACAGAGGCAGGGGGCGCCCGACAGGGCATAGCATGGCTCCTGTCTCGTCCTGGCTCCTCCTCTCTCCTCCTCCTCCAACTCGCCCCTGGCTCCTCCTCCTCCTCATCCTCCTCCTCCTCCTCGCGACTCCCTCCTCCTTGCCGAACCAGCCCGTGCAGCTGGCTTTCCAGGCACCTCCTGGCGCTAGAGGCAACCAGTCATCGAGCCCCCCCCCGCCCCGGCGGGCGGGGCCGAAACAGGCTGCACGCAGCACTTTTCATTGCCCCTGCCTGACCAGCCTCGACCGTATCCCTATCTCAAAAATCGGCGAGCAAAAGGCGACGACGATCGTAGGGACGTGCCCTCAGAAACCGAAGGGAGCCTTCACATCAGCACCGAAGTACGGTGATGACGAACATGGAGATAGGGATACGTTTCCAGCTGGCCACTCCTTTTTTCCTAACCCCCAACCTTCCCAGGCATGTGACGTCATGATATGCTCAACATGTTCTCCTCGGGAAGTCCCGGCCCCCTCCCCATGGGCCCTCCCTGCATCCCGAGATGTTTGGCGGCAGCCCCGCGGCCGGCCGAGGGCGCCCAAGGGGCCGAGCGTGGCTCGCACCCTCCCGCCGCGATCTGTCCACAGGGGCGCCCCGCGTCGCGCACGGCGCTGCGCGAAGCGCGAATTCCTTCGCGCTCTCGCGTCGCCCCCCGAGGTGGACAAACGCGTTCCGCTACTCGCAGAGTAACTACTCGCGAACGGCCTGGATCCGCCGCGGGGGACTTACGATCCACTCTGTTCGGACGCTTGTTGCGAGTAGGCACTTTTGCGAGCAGTGGAGCGCGCTCGGCGACGAGGGGAGAATCGAAAAAGAAACAACGCAATACAATTTTTGGCAATCCGCGCGGATTCTTGGATCTGCGCTGGACCCCCCTCCCTGGCGTGCGGAACGCGCCAGGGGCGGCGCTGGAGGCGGCGCCAGGGGGGGGGACGGGACGAGGAAGAGGAAAAGGAGGAGGAGGATGAGAAAGGAGAGGGCGAGGAGGAGGATGAGGAGGAGGAGGAGGACGAGGACGAGGAGGAGGAGGATGGCGAGGAGAAGGAGGGCGAGGAGGAGGAGGATCGCACGCCACTGAGGGGGAAGGAAAACGGGGAAAGAAGTCCCACAGTCCGCCACTGCCCCAAGGGGGCCCTTGTCAACCACGGGCAGGAACGCCGAAGACCCGCCCGAGGTCCGCGACAGGGCCCCCCTGGGATACAGTTAAATAGACAGCCAGTTCATTAACGTCCTGCTCTTCAGAACGTTCGACCCTCCCTCCAGGCTTCAAAGCATCGCCGTCATTGAGGCCGCAAGCTAAGAGGAAGTCGGCAAGGCAAAACGTGCACCCTGGGCCCTTTCTGGTCCCAAACTCATTCGCTCGAGGCTGGGCCCCTGAATCTCTCTTGAGACACCCCAACCAAGCTCTCGCCGCCCCCCCAGGAGACCAACAGCGGCCCATCTTGAGAGGTCTGTCGGGGTGCTTCGCATTCGGCACCGCCTTGGTATACTCCTTGCCAGTGTCCTCGAGGGCCCTTCGCGAGCCTAAGCAACTGGAGCTCAAACCCATGGTCCCAATGGAAGCCGTTGCATGCCCTCCGCAGGCGGAACAAAAAAAACGCAGGAGGGCGATTTACCTCCCAAACTTCAACCTCCAGGAGACAGTGTTGGCTGCAAAACCAAGGCATCTAGTGCTTATAATTGGCCCACTCGGCCAACTCTGGGGGCAGCACTCCTCTCTGGCCTGCGGCGGAGGTGGATTGGGCGGGGGGGGGGTAGCAGAGACAGCAGCCGCTTCCCCCACCCCCCTCCCCGGCTTCGAAATCACTTCCTCCAACTCGCCAAGGCCTCGAGCAAACCAAGAGTGAGCCCCTGGGCTCCTGCATTGCTATCTTGGGCTTCGGCCCTGCTGATATACTTCGCTAGCGTGCGCGCCAGGCAGAGCATTCCTTTGGCCATCGAGACCCCATCTCTGCTCCTGCGGGCAAGCTCCACCCCAGCTCTTGACGGCCTATACGCCACTTGATCGCCTTCATCAGTGTACCCTGAGAAAGAGCCTAAAGACGGCGTTGTGACCTGAGAAGCTGGCCTCCTCCCCTCGGGTGGGGAAGGAGAGGTGGGGATGAGCGACGGTCGGGGCGGGCTGGCTTTCCAGTTCCACCCCCGTGTTAAAGGAACCCACGGGGCTACCCCTGCGCATCTGTCGCTGGGGGGGCAGCAAGGACCTCCCGAGCCGTGCGACAGGGACAACCACTGCCCAACAAGGGACACAAGGGAAGGGCAAGGCGACGTCGGCAGGCGGAACCCCAAAGCTCGGGTTCTGAGGCTGGCTGCGTAACCAGCACCGCCCGCCAGAGCGTGCGCCCTACCCCTCCCGAAATCGTGACCATCCCTGGCCGAAGGGGAAGGCGACGCTGGCAGGCGGAACCCCAAAGCTCGGGTTCTGAGGCTGGCTGCGTAACCAGCACCGCCCGCCAGAGCGTGCGCCCAGCCCCTCCAAAGATTCTCGCCATCCCTGGCCACCTGGTCTGGGCAGCCATTAGGCGGGACCGCCCTATGCCATTCGGCCAACGGGCGGAGCTCTCTGTCAAAGATCACCGCTCCCCAGCCCGCGACTTGAATCGAGGGGAGAGGCCTTCAAAGCCTGATCAATTCCAAAAAAACATGTCCCTGTTCCAGCGCCGGCGGCGGCCCTGGGCGAGGAGGAGGATGATGATGATGAGGAGGAGGAGGACGACGAGGAGGACGAGGAGGAGGAGGAAGAGGAGGAGGAGAAGGAGGACGACGAGGAGGAGGAGGGGAAGGATGATGAAGAGGAGAACGAGGAGGGCGAGGAGGAGGAGGAGGAGGAGAAGGAGGAGGAGGAGGAGGGCGAGGAGAAGGAGGAGGGCGAGGAGGAGGAGGAGGAGGAGAAGGACGAGGAGAAGGAAGAGGAGGTGGAGGAGGAGGAGGAGGAGGAGGAGGAGGAGGAGTAGGAGTAGTAGGAGTAGGAGGAGGAGAAAGAGGAGGAGGAGGAGGAGGAGGAGGAGGAGGAGGGCGAGGAGGGCGAGGAGGAGGAGGAGGGCGAGGAAGCGGAGCCGCACCGCGGAGCGCGCGCACAGCTCCGAGCCCTCGAGGGGCGCTCGCTCCCGGCCTGCCCGGGGCCTCGCCCGCCGCCCCGGCAGGACGCGCACGGGCGGCGGCGCGCTCCACGGCACGCCGCGGGCGCGCCGCGGGCGGGATGGACTCGAGCGCTCCACTGCTCGGCGGCGCGCACAAGGGGGTAAGGGGAGGGAAGGCTTCTAGAAGGAGACTGCTTCTTAGAAGGCGCCGGCCTCACATCCACAAAGGAGGCCCGCGCCTTCTTAGAAGCAGGGGTGCTTCTAAGAAGCCTCCCCCCCTCCTCCTACCCCCTTCTGCGCGTGGCCAGACTGCTCTTGGGAGGACAAATTAACAAACAAACATACTCCAAAATATCCCAAATCGGTCCAACAAGAAGGAGGAACTCGTCCCCGTACTGTTTTTTGGCTGGAGCTGCCGCGGGGGATCCAAGATCAGGTGCCTCGAGGCAGACCTTTGAGTTGTTCGACGTTTGCGAGTGCAGTGGAGGCCCGACCACAAGAGAGCCTCCACAAGAACACACAACCTTGAGACCCCGAGACGTCCACCGAGTTCTGGCGTGGGAACGTCACGCCCTCCACGGCAAAACAAACCATCGAAGCCCGAGGAACCCAGGGCACCCTGGAGGCAGGCAGGGTGCTTCTTGGCATGGGCCCCCCACCCTGAGGCACTCTGCGAGTGGTGGCACGCGCTCGGTGATGGGAGGCCCCGCGGCCCGCGAGGCGCCTGCGTTGGTGGTCCCCAAACGTGGTGGTGAGAACACCCGGTGGTGAGTTTTGGGCGATTTGGGTAATGGTTTTCGAGCGCTGGCTGGCCCAGGAAACGCAAAACCTCGTGGTGACCGCGTGTCCCCAAACCCGGTGGTGACCCAGAATTATTTTTGGGGGGAATCGGGGTCACCACCGGGTGTCTCACCATCTGGTATGGAGACCACCAACTGCGGGGCAGCCCGCCCCCGACCTCTGCTGGGAGCGCCCCCCGCTGGGCGAGGCAGGCGCCCTGCCCTCGCAGGCCTTGCCGGCGGCGGCCATGTCAGCCTCCGTCTCGACCGCGATGGTCTTGGGCACGTCCCACGTGCCGTTGCCGCGGCAGAGGCCCGTGATCTCGCCGACTGCCTCGGTGGGGCGTCGCTTGCGGAGTGGGGGGGCGATCCGTTGGAGGGGGAAGAGGGGTGCACTCTTCGGGGCCCACAGGCCCCATTCGGGGCCCTCCAGGGCCTCTTTGCTGCAGCCCCCGTCGCCTCCCTCGTTATCGCCGCCCCATCCCGCGACGCCCGAATCGGAGGGGATGCGAGGATGCGCGGAGCTGGGAAACGGGGATTGACTGAATTGCGACCCCCAGCGATCTCAGAACCCGTGCGAGAGCGTCCCCACCACGATTAGCATCATCATCTATCATGATCATGATCATGATCATGATCATGATCATGATCATGTTCATGTTCATCATCATCATCATCATCATCATCATCATCATCATCATCATCAGCATCATCATCATCATCGTCAACCTCATCATCAGCATTATCATCATCAGCATCATCATCGTCAACATCACCATCATCAACATCAGCATCATCAATATCGTCACCATCAGCATCAGCATCATCATCAGCATCGTCATCACCACCATATCAGCATAAAATTCATCATCATCATCACCACCATCACCATCACCATCATCATCATCACCACCATCACCATCACCATCACCATCACCATCACAAGCACCTTCACCATCACAATCATCATGACCATGACCATGACCATGACCATGACCATGGCAATGACCATGGCAATGACCAGTATCATCATCAGCAGCATCATCATCGCCACCACCACAACCATCAACAACACCATCACAGTCACGATCACTATGACCATGACCAATACCATGACCAGCACCAGCATCATCAGCATCATCATCAGCAGCAGCACCATCACCATCCTCATCATCATAGTCATCCCCATCACCATCAAAATCACGATCATCATCACCATCACCATCACCATAACAATCATCATGACCATCACCATCACCATCACAATAATCAGCATCAGCATCATCATCATCATCACCATCACCATCACCACCATCCTCATATTCATCCCTGCCATCGTCACCATCATCACAGTCACCATCATCAGCATCAACATCAGCATCAGCATCAGCATCAGCATCATCACCATCACCACCATCACCATCATCACCAGCATCACCATAACCATCATCACCATCACCATCACCATCACCATCACCATCACCATCATCACCATCATCACCATCATCATCACCATCACCATCACCATCACCATCATCACCATCACCATCACCATCACCATCACCATCACCATCATCATCATCATCATCACTATCATCACCATCATCATTAACAAAAACACCACCACCATCGCAATTGTCCTCCTCCCGCCTCCCGCTCCTCATGACACCTCCCCGGCCAGCAGGAGCGACGGGCGCACCGATGCTGGGGCGCGCGCGCTCCGTGCGGTCCGCGTCGGGTGTCTTCGCGACAGGCCGGGCTGCGCCCCGGCGAAGGCCCGCCCTGCGCCGCCCCGCGACGCTCCCGCTCCTGCCAATTGCCCTCCACCGTGACCCATACAGTCGGGGCGTTGACCTAAGGAACCCTAAATAAGGAACGAGGCCCCTTTTTCCCATAAGTTCAACCTCGACTTCCCATGGAAAACCTCGGGGAAACCCGAGGCAAACTTTGAAACAGTCAAGGAACACCGAGCCCCTCCCCAACGAAAAGGGTTCCTTCTTCAGCGCGCCCTCTGTACTTCTCCTCCCTGACTCCGTCGCTCATTCCTCTTTTGAGCCCTCCCTCGTCTCGACCCAGCGCTCCTCCTCAGCATTCCTCAACGCTTATGCGCCTCTACTCTTCCTTTCTCTTTGTACGCCGAGGCCCTCAAAAGGGGAACCTACCGCCACGCTTGCGGCACGGCCCAAAATTCCCATGGCGCGCGGGGACGTCGACAACGCCCCGCCGCTCACGGCTGGTCTTGAGGGGGGAAGAGGGTTAGGAGGCAACTACTGGGAGGTCTTCGTCGGAGGATTAAGGAACATCAGGCCCCATTGGGGGGCTGTTATGTCGCAGTGGGCCTCGGATTAAGCGGGATTCAGCCAGATTAAGCTGCATTTAGCCCGATCATGCGGGATCAAGCTGGATGGAGCTGGATTGCGGGCCAGGGCAAAATCAGAGTTTGACCTCCCAGGAGTTGCATCCGAAAGAGGGGACGCCAACCACCGCAAACACCAATCACAGTTTCTCGACGGTGCTGGGGACGAGTACTTGACCAACAGTGTGGTTGGCAGCCGGCAGGGCGTGCGCGGGTGCTGGCCGCGCACGCTGCAGCGCCAACTCCGGCGGTTGCAGGGGTGCGCCTTGCCATACACCAGCCAGGCTGGTGGTGTTAGTTCGGGCGTGTCCCCCTACAGGCGGACTTGGGAGGAGAAATACAACATACACCATCAGTGCGCAAACGTTATCAACCATGATCAAGCATCGTCCCCAGGCCAGGTTTTGACTATGTTTGAGTGCTCCTCCTGCATGGGGGCATTCCCGACTTCATGGTAGTGGTCATCGCTTCCCGAGTCATGGCAGAGCGGGGCTGAAGCCCTGCTCGGTGCCCATCAGCGAGAAGCGCCGACCATCAGGAGCGAAAGCCTGGGCTGCCGCACCACATTTGCTTCGACAACGCTCGCCCACCGAGCCCAGCCCTGGCCCATTGCACAGGGCGCCAAGGCTCCCCTGGCCGGGCTCCAAGTGACCCCTTGCGTAACTACGGGGTTGGAATGGGAGAGATGTATCTAGCAACAACCATAGCCCACGGCGGACACGAACGAACCAGATGGATACCCTCTGCGCAGTCGGAGTTGAAGTCTGGCGCAAGCGAGGGCTCGGTTAGCGAACTGCCTGGCGGTCCGTTCGCGTGACGTCCGTCGGCCAGGGGCGTGTACACCATTGGACACACAGACAGCCGCAAAAAACAGCATGAAGTTCACGTTGTGAAACCCATCGGCGGGCAGAAACCGCACCTTCTCCTCCTCCTGCTCCTCCTGCCCCCCCCTCCTCCTCCCCTCCTCCTACTTCACCTCCTCCTCCTCCTTCTCCTCCTCCCAATCGCTCTTCCTCTGTCATCCTCATCCTGCAACCTCCTCCCCATCCTCTTCCTCCTCCTCCTCCGCCGCCGCCTCCTCTTCCTACTCCTTCACCTCCTCCTCCTCCGCCGCCGCCTTCACCCCCTCCTCCTCCTCCCTCACTCCTCCCTCCCTCCTCCTCCTCCTCCTCCTCCTCCTCTCCTCCTCCTACTCCTCCGCCTCTTCCTCCTCGTTCTCCTCTGAGTCCTCCTCCTCCTCCTCCTCCCTCCTCTCCTCTCCTCTCCTCCACCTCCTCCCCGCTCCTCCCGCTCCTCCTCCTCCTCCTGCTCTTCCTCCTCCCCTCCTCCTCCTCCTCCTCCTCCTCCTCCTCCTCTCCTCTCCTCTCTCTCTCCTCCTCCTCCTCCTCCTCCTCCTCCTCCTCTCCTCCCTCCTGCTCCTCCTCCTCCTCCTCCTCCCTCCTCCTCCTCCTCCTCCTCCTCCTCCTCCCCCAGTCCCCAGCCCATCCCCATCCACCTTTTCTTCGCTTTCCTCTTTCACAACGTCCTCCTCCGCCGACTTCGCCCCTCCCCCTCCCCCTCCGCCCCCTCTCCACGCGCGCACGGAGCGAGGAGGGAGCATGAGGAGGAGCTGGAAGGAGCACGACGATGGCCATGGCGCGGGGCGACGGGGAGCCAGGGACGAGAAGGAGGCCCAGGAGCCAGGGAGGAGGATCGAGGAAGCAGCAGAGAGGACGAAGAGGGCGTCCTGACCCACTCCCACGACGACGACGACGACGAGGCCCCTGGCCCCCTCCGACGAGCTGCAGGGACGCCGCCGCGCCGACGGCGGCGACCAGCAGGGCGCGGACGGACCCCGCCCGGCGCCCGCCATGCGCGCGAGGC